AATCAATCAATCAATCAATCAATCAATCAATCAATCAATCAATCAATCAATCAATCAATCAATCAATCAATCAATCAATTATTGGCCACCATGTACCAACAGATTACAAATTAAAATTTTATCTTATGATAAATACGAGTTTAGTTTAGAAGATTGGCATGCTGTCCTCTACGTTTGGTTTTCTGTTATATGCCAAATAATAATCTGCATTTTACTAGATTACAACATTCATTTATTGCTGTCAATGAAATGAATATGAGATACCAGGTAATAACAGTTTGAAATCTAAGAAGTCTGGCTTTATCTTGTCTGCCTAAATTTTGAAGCAAAAATTCTCCATTGGTGTTACCAAGTAATAAAGGATAACTTGCTGTGTTTTTAACCATTTTATTACATGGTTATTGATGTACCGTAAAGAAAGTGTTACATAACATTTTTTTTTTAAATCTTTATTCTATAAAGCAATCTTTATTTGTCCAATCAAGTGTACTTAATGCATTTATACTGTAAAGAAAATCAATGTATCATCAAAGTAGTTGCTCGATGTAGTTGTAATGTAGTTTTACAGTTGCAATATAATATTCTGGTGGAATGGTGATTCCTTTACTCCGGTGTAGAAACCAAATATTTGATGTCTTTTGTCTTTTTCCCTGTGTGTCAGCCATCTTGGTTTAGCTTACTTTTTTCCATTCCACTGATCAAAAAATTTGACTTTTCCGTATGGAATGATGCAATAGCTTCCAGTAGATCAGTCTAAATGCGTAAGTGCCAAAAGTTGGTCACTATGCATGAAAAAGTTAAATGACCATTTAAAATGTGTTATATGTACATAATACATAAAGTAAAAATAATTCACTCCATCTGTAAATATTATTTCTCATATATACCACAAGCTAATATTTAAACCTAAGGCTTTACCTTGTTACAAGGACATGAATTTTGTTTTACTAAACTAAACTTGTTGGTGGAGTTTCTTTTTTTTTTTTTTTTATGTTCTCTATCTCCTTTTTAACAGGTCACAGGTGTGTAGTCATCAAATTTGAAATTACAGTAATAATTTAGCAAATGTTGCATCAAAGAGTTCATTTTCAAATATTGCAAAGCATTAGGATTTAGATTAGATATATAGCTCAGCTCGACTGACAGCTGCAGTCAATTTCCTTTACAATGACTGCCTCAGGGTTAATGAGCTAGCAAGTTTAACATTAGCGTTAGTGGTGTTGCTAAAGTGGCTCAGGTTGTTACAAAGTTGAAACATTTTTACCAAACAGAAACAAAGTGTTAAAATAAGTTGTAGCTTTTCGTACAATCATATTCATTCATATTATAGCCCATAAACATCTAAGTCCTACTGCTTTCATTTAATAGTGTTCATATGTTGTTTCCAACAGATATAAAAAAGGAAATTTCAACAGCATATGCATATAAAATAGATAATAGATAATAATAATAAAGTTATTTTAGCAGATTTTACATTTAATTGCACATCATCTGATCCCTTGCAGGAGTTGAGTGATGGCTGAGGATGGGGGAAATCTCTCCTCGCTCCCTAAAGTCAGGGGTTCGGAAAATCGCTCCTCTCTTCCGAGGAATTTCATCCCACTTAACGACCTGTCCGGGATGGCTGCAGAAGGTGGGGAGGGTATTAGCGGAAGCAGCGAGCTGGTGATAGAGCGAGCATCCCCAGCCCCTGATGGGATCTCTGTGGCCGGGGACGATGGATCCACGCAGGGTGGAGGGAAGAGTCAGCCCTACCCTGAGTATGCACCTGTGGTCTTCTTCTACATGAAACAAACCACACCTCCCCGAAGTTGGTGTATCAAAATGGTCCGCAACCCATATCCTTTTTTAAAATATAGAAATACTGATTGAAGTCATCTCAGGTAAGAAACTTCTGCTTGGCTTTGTCCTCAGATATGATGAAGCTACCAACCTATGTTCTTTATTATTTCTTTTGCGTCTGTGAATGCCTTACTCTGGAGTTGGGGTTTAGGTGGTTTACACGTGTTTGTTGGAGCTGCAGTCTTCACAATATACATGAGTAGACAGGAAAGGAAACAAGCTGCTTTTTTAGAGCTAGCTTTAGAGCACAGCTTTCCTGGATTTTTATGTATGATATATCATTTATTGAAAATGTGTTTTTTGATGTTTCTTCACTTTTTGTTCTCTTTTGTTCATACGTAAGATGTGTGTCTCCCAACAAGATACATGCTTTAAGTTTTTAAATTGCTTCCTTGTAAATGCAGTTCTGAAAATGGACTGACGGTCTTAATGATATCATACTTTAGCAGAATTGATCATTTTGTACATGCATATGGAAGATTTTACACCCAGGGTCAAATGTAATATAGGCAATATGACGCATAAAATGTTATCTAACAACATTTTATATTATTATTCTTTTAGTTAGTTTTTTTTTTTTTACTTGGGATTGAATTTAACATCACTTGAGATGAATTGTAAGATAAAGTGTTCAGAAAACATTTTAAAAAATGACAATACTTTGGATCAAAACTGTTTTTTAAAACAAAATAAAGGGTTCAACATGCAGCCACAAAAAAGACGAACAGGGAATTGAACTGGAGCCTCAGAAATATCTACATCCATATAAAACAAAGATTGAAAAAACTGAAAAGACATTTAGCAGTTAGGCTAGGTGTGTAGCATACAAATAAAACCCCTGAATGTCACATTTTATGTTCCGAGAACCTAAGCTTATGTAAGAGCTGTTCTAAGACAATATTGTTTCTGACATTGCATATTGGTTATCTTTGTTATTACAAATAGAAATTACACTTCTTTGGTAGCAGAACACATATTTAAAAGAAAATCAATATATCCTTATTTTGGGCCCATAATGCTTTGGAACCACAAAGCCCATTTCTATATTACATCATTACTTTACACCAAGTCAGCTCAGATCTAATGTATGCACATATATAAAAGCCTTGGCCCTCCAGTGCATACCCTGCAGCGTTATGTTTCCCAGTCACTGCTACTATTACTCAGAGCCTCCAGCTGACTACGTCTAAAGAGTGTCAGGAAAGAAAACCTTCTGGCTTCCTGTGAAAGGACATATAGTGTGGGGCTGTTATAATTAGATCACTGATACCTGCCCTCGTTGTTTATTGAGCCTTTCCTTCAGGTTAATAGCATCCATTGAAGACACAGGCTTATTGAATCACTCCTGCTGCTGAGGTCCATTATTGATTCATAAGTATTCAGACCTGCAAGAAAAAGATGGAGACACTTTAGGTTGTTTTTCTTCTTCTAGTTTTCAGTTGTAAGGCAAAAATCCAGAATTAGGGTGGAATTAAATATTTTTTCCATTCTAGACCAATTTTACCTGAATAATTAGTGCTTTTTCCCCTGGTGTTGTGTACGTGAAAATTATTAGGCCACACAGTCACAGCTAGCTAACCTTTTGACATTTGTGCCCATGCCTTCAGTGGTATGTATATTTACAAGTTGATAATTGCGTAATAAACCTCTGGAAAGGTAGGTGATGTAGATGCTGTGATATCCTTTTGCTGCAAAGCTGATAAATCAGAAAACAAACTGCTGAGAAAAACAAGAGAGTGCATCAGTTCCAACTCTGAGGCTTTGTTAATAAAATTAGATAAAAATCTGAAAAGTACAATATATTAGTGAAATTCCCCATGACATGCCATTACTAGTGAACTATACCTGTTCAGAGGCGACGTTACACTCCCTACCAGAGAATTAGAACTGTTGCAAAAAGGAAATAAATTATTTTTTTTGTTTTATTACCAATTACCCCCATCAGTGTAAATGTCATCAATAACTCTAAAATATTCTCTGCATTTGTTGCTATATTTTAAATATTGCTAGAGTGCAAACTAGACATGGCATAAGATTTTAATGGTTGCAGTCAATAATAATGTCATATTTACACTTTTTTTTTTAAAACAGAACGCATTCTTCTGTTGGAATGATCTTAATAAAACACATATATATGATTTTCTTTGGATTTTTTTATACATAAATGTAAATGTAACTCTAAACAGTTGAATGTGATTTGGAAGTAAAGGAAAAGTGTAGCATCCTTCTTATAGGCCAGCTTAGCAGGCATGTGCAGCAACAAATGAGGGAAGGTCAGCACTCCTGAACTTTAAGATAAAAATGTTTGTTATGCTGAAAGATTGAAGTCTGTCTTAGTTGAGTAGAAATAAAAGCCCAGACCAACTCTAAGCTTTAACAGTTTCTACACATGCAGATGCTGATTAAAAGCTCAGCTGTTCTTCAGTTAGCCCCCCCTTACTCCTCAGACGTCCAGAGTCTTTGCAGTGATTAAAGTTACATTCAGACACTAAAATAACTCAATAAAAGTTTGTGTTTGTTTTTATCATCTAAATGTAAGTCGATAAACATGAATCATTTTAAGATTTGCTTTGTTTATTGTTGTCAATTCATACATACATGTGAGATCAGATGTTTCATCTGTGAGAATACAAGTTTAGAAGTTTTTAACTCAAGTTACTAAGTTACACCTTTGTAAAACTTCAAGTACAAATCACAAATTTATCAGTATGACTATAAACTCCTGTGTCTGATGATAAGGCACCTGAAAGGTGTTTACCTACTGCCTTTGAACGATAAGAAGACGAAAACAGAACAACAGATTGGTTCTGTTTTTGTCTGAAAATATAGATTTATAACTGTAATTTGGTAAAAAAAAAAAAAAAAAGCAAAAAAGGATGTGTAGACGTGTACACTCATATTAAGTGTGTTTACCCTCAATATGAGTAGGTAAATAAGACTATTTGCAATTGGAATGAGTGTTTTTAACTAATAAGATTATTAGATAATTGAAATAATACAATGCAATAGTTTTCTTCTTATTTTAAAGGGATATTGTTCTGTTCCATTGGCAAGTGTCTCACACCTCAATTCAAGAAAAAATGCACTTTAAAAACTTTTAAAAAAGGACTTACTAAGATTAGATTTTTTGCAGTGTAACTTCTAAACTTGTATTTTCCAAAAGACAAAATCTGCTGTAACATGTATATATGAGTTGACAACATTAAAAAATTACAAATCTTATGATTATTCACACTAACATAATTACATTTACATATTCATCATCTACACACCTGCTTTTATTGACAGTTATCTTACCCCATAATTTTCTAAACCTTTGTTTTATGTTTTCTAATAGATAACACTAAAAAATCTCAGATAAAGGTCCTGCTGCTGAACAAACCTCCTGCATAACAGACCTTAGCTGCGTGTTTCTATCTCAATGTTGCACGTGCATTTTGAGGAATAACTTTAGAAGAACTTGATTGAAAATTTTAACCAGCTGAATTTAGGTGCTTTTTATCTAAAGATGGAAGAACCGTTACTATATACATTTACCTCACATGACGGATTAGCTGTTTGCACTGCTGGCATCATGAGCCCTAGCATTAGAATCACACTTTTCTCTCAATGTCCCTGGATAGCATGTAACATCACTACAGTAATACTAGCTGCCATGATAAATGAAGAAGTACAACTTGTCCAATTGCAACACATTCGTAAAACCCATTACCATTTTGATCCATGCTAGCTTGCTACTTCTACACCCTGTTTATTACAGCCAGGTGTAATGTTGGTGTATGAGGATATCACACTTTGCATCGTCTGGTTAGATTCACTCCAATGGATGGAAACACCTCTAATTCATATTTTCTTTTTTAAAAGTTTGACCAAATCTTGCATTAGATGCAGATGAAAATACAGCGACCATCTTATCATGCTAAAATTGAATCAAGAGCCATTAGTAGACTTCTGTATTGTGACTGAACTGTAGCATCGGTTAATGATTTTCTGTCGTCAAGGTGTCAGACAGCCACTCTATCGTCCCTCAGATTACTTCTGTTCCTCTCCTTCCTCTTGCCACCCGCCTACGCCTTCCCCGGTCCTGCCCATACATCTGCCACTTCATCATTCCAACCCATCCCCTCAGCCTCTGCTGCTTTACATCCCATCGCCTCGTACTCCTCTTTCCTCATTTGTCATTGCTTTAATTGAGATGCAGTCAAGCTGTCCTCCTCCTCAAATTCCTGCAGGAACGTTGTCCACAGCGCTGACGTTCTCACTGGATACTCTCACTCCCTGTCTTCATTTTCTTCTCTCGCTCTCTTCTCAATTTTTTTCCCCCTCCTTTGTGATCTGGCTCGGCCTGGGAGTGATCACAGCTGATTTCCATGTCTGTAAATGTCAAATCTTTAAAGGTCTTATATGAGAGCCCAGTGGCCTCCACAGGGAGTAGAGGCAATCTATGATACTATTATCCAAGTCTGGGTTTCTCAAACATTTAATTTGTTGGTATAGCCTCCCCACAGAGATCCCAGTGTATGGACAGTACAATGTAGTCCTATTAAAAAGAACCAAATCAACTAAATCAATCTCTAAAAATATATTGATTATTTCAGAATTGTGTTTTGAGCTAATGATAGGCAGTCTTTAACTAGAAACGTCCAGTTCTACAGAACCCTGATGATGAATTTTCTAATTCTGTATAGAGGCTAAATGCAATCATTGACCGAGTCAGTAGTTCAACTCAAATTTCTTCTAGACATGGTTGATTGTAATCTTAACTAACAATACTATGCAAAATTTAAGGCTACAATCTAAATGTTCTTTAATGGCTCAGGTTCAGATCACTAAGAAGGATTGTTTGTGTGAGGAATTGCTATGCATGCAATGAGCTCATTGAAAACTATGAAGCAATCCCAACATATTCTCATTATCAGTTGGTATGAAATCGTGCGAAAAGTTATGCACAGTATTTCGTACGTTTTGGACGTTTTTCCTCAAAAATACAGATCAG